TAACTAGTTATATGACGATTAATTCACCAATGTGATACATTTCAACTGACCAGTTAGAAATAGCAATATGAAAGAGAAACTATGTTGTACATGTGTTTATTGGGTCTAAAATAATGTAGTAAAATGCTCTGGTGGTTAATGAATTAATTTTTGTTCCCCCCCCCCTTTGGTTCTTGGAATTAAAACCAGGCACTCTGCACTGAACTACAACCCCAGCCCCTTTTATTTTTTAATTTTGAGATAGGGTCTTACCAAGTCACTAAGTTATAGGCTGGGCTCGAATTTGTAATCCTCCTGCCTCAGCCTCCCAGAGTGCTGGGATTATAAACATGTAGCACAATTCCCAGATAATTACTCTTTCATCATGGCACAAGTGCAAAAGCTGTGATCTCCAATACTGCCACTCACTGTACTTTGCAGCGGGTGGAGCCTGTCAGCACCATAATAAGTACCTGATGCCTGATGCCAGCAACCAGAGTGAACCACAGAAAGTACAGGTAACAAAGCCGGGTACTGCACATGCCTGAAATCCCAGCCCTCAGGAGGCTAAGGCAGAGGATCATTAAGAGAGGGCCATTTGGACTACATATTGAGTTCAAGGCCAGCCTGAACTACATTAAAAAAAAAAAGGTACAGGGATCCAGCAACAACTGTCAGAAGCTGGAACCAACCAGACATTTTCATCTCCTGACAGACTCATGCAGTAACATTGATGAGGCAGCTCTGGCCAAAAAATCATAATCATCATCATCATCATCATCATCATCTTCATCAAACTGGAGTTTGATCAGCTCTCTGGGTCCAACAACCAATTTACAGGATGATGGAAGAGGGACAGAGTAAGCAGGCGTGCAGGATTCCAATCTGTAAGAGATGTGGGGATTCATACAGGACACATGCATGGCCCTGTCCCTTCAGTGAGAAAGTGCAGTGAGAACAGAAGGAGCCGGAAACACCAGGTTACGAGATACACCCGTCAGTCCCTGTGTCTGGACCTAATCCAGGGCAGCCTCTAACAAATACTCAGAGAAAGAAGAAAACCTGAGACAGAAGGGAAATCTGAAGGGAGTGGGCACTGCTGATAGGAGGAATTTAGTAGTATTTTTAGGTGTGATAATGACATTGTGGTTACTTTTTTTTTTTGGTACCAGGGATCAAACTTGGGACCTTGCCCTTGTGAGGCAGGCGGAGGCACCGCTATGCTAAATCCCCGGCCCCATTGTGGTTGCTTTTTAAAGAGGGATTCCTACCTGTCTGTGAAGTGCGTCTATGTAACTGGGCAACAGCCACAAGGCAGGAACAGTGGACACTGGGTTACAGGCATGTGGAAATGTTTTAAAAAAAAAGTAGCGCTGGGCATGGTAATCCCAACGCTAGGGAGGCTGAGGCAGGAGGGCTGCTGTGAGTTCAAGGCCAGCCTGGGCTACAGAGTGAGTGCAAAGATAGCCTGAACTACATAGTGAGACCCTGTCTCAAAAAACAAAAACAAAAGAACAAAGCAAAACCAAACAAACAAAAAAGTAATCAGCTGGGGTTGGTGGTGCACATCTATAGTCCCAGAATATTAGGAGGGTGAGTCAGGAGGATTGCTAGTTTGGGTCCAGCCATGGGCATCTTAGAGAGACCTGGATTCAAAATACAAAAATAAAATAATAAGGAGTGGGGATATAGCTAAGTGGAAAGGCCCCGGCCTTGGGTTAGATATACAATATCACCAGAAAAAGTAACCATGCTCACTACAGAAAATTTGGAAATTAGCAAAGTATAAAGTAAAAAAGACTCCCATAAATTTTACCACTCGAAGCTATAGCAAAGGGAAGTCTTGATTTTATTTCGACTACTGGAGTAAGCCAGACTCCCTACAAAGGACTTGGGAAAAGAGCTGCAGAAAAGGAGGAAGAGCAGAGAAGAAAAGGACTTCACGCTGGTCTTTCACGTTTAGCCAACACATCCAATGCAAATTTCACATCAGCTCCATTAAGAACCATGCGCACACACACACACACAGACACACACACACACACAGACACACACACACACACACCCTACATAACCAGAGGAAGCTGCCACTGTTAATTTAGGAAACTGACCCCAAGCTAGGTCATTGTTTTGTTCCTATGGAAGTTGCAAGTTCATTTAGTCATTAACTTGTTCATTCAACAAACACAACTCCATCATCACCTATGACCACCTGCACTGAGGCTGATTAAAGGTGATAGATTCTCTGCCAGCCTCAGGGAACTTAGGGTCTGGAAGAAACACTGCAATCCCACCAAGCCACCCCAGGAAGACGCAGAATCAGAACAGAGGCAGACTCCCTCCACCCACGTCAAATGCAGTGCCACACAAGAACAGTGCTGAGCGGTCACAGCTGTGATGATCAATCAAGGACTGTTTCCCCCTACCCATAATAAAAACATTGAAAATTTGGAAAGAGACACTTCTGACAAAAAATGGGGGTGAATGTTTGGTTTCCCTCCCGAGTGGGAGCTGCAGAGGGGGGTGTGTGGTGTGTGTAAATGTCACCCATGTGGCTGTCACATGTCCAAAGGGAGAGGAAGAGGTGGCTGAAGAGGTTTGCTCTGGGTCTCTGCATGGGGATCAACATAACGGAGTCAGAAACTGAAGCCACTGACCCCACACAGGTTCAAGCCAACAATTCCATGTAACAAGAGATCTCTCAGCCACAGCTGAGAAACTCAGCTTCGTATACTAATGGCAAAACTGGGTACCAAAACCTGAGAGAAGAGACACGCTAAGTATTGCCATTATTTTAGTCATTTAAAATACGCCATTATTACCTCTCTCAGGATGACAAAAACATAAGCATCCAATTTCCTTGCTCTGAATGCACTGAAATTTCTTGGTTATTTTCGAAGTGATTAGCTTGAGAAGCTCAAGCTCACCCGGAAACACAAGTTCACAGCACTCTGCCCGGCACATGCAACTACTTGGGTCCGAGCTTCCTAAGGAACAAAGAATTGGAGACCACTGAACTCGTGGACAGGCTCCAACACTTCCAACAGCACATGGCTTTCCTCCAGGAGGACCAATGCGGACATGCACTTGCTGGTTCTCCTTTGGCACAGTCGTCCCCTCCCGGGACAGTGTACATCTCTGCTGACACAGACTGCACTCAGAAGTGTGGCTGAAGTCCCATAAAGACGACATGCACGGTGCAGATCATGGTGTACACATATAAGGCACCAACTCAGTGAGCGGGCGGGCCAGGGACCCTGCCAGCTTGGCCAGTGCTCCACAATGCACCCCACCAAGCATGCCAGCTCCCTGGAGCGAAAATTCCAAGGCACCTTGTATGCCAACAACATTTCCTAAATAATAGACTCTGGACTGGCCAATTCAGATGATCAGAATCCTGTGGGTGCAAACTCACCTGAGTGCAGAGAAAACCCCTGGGTGAGAGAAAGCCTCATCTAAGATCCAGGGCGCTGGGGAGGTCCTAGACAGCAGCCCCTGAACATGGACAGAGGCAGGCACTTCCAGTCACATAAAGGGGCAGAGACAGGCCTTAGAGGCAGGAGGTGAGTGGGGGTGCGCTTGCCACTTCCTCACGGGGGAGACTGGCTGAGGATGTATCTGATGCCCAGAATGGGTGGGGGGAGCAGTGACATCATGGGACAGAAGAACTGCTACTCCCCAAGTCCTGACCTGAGCAGCGCACACCTTTCGGGTTTGGGACAGGAAGGTGCACTTTCCTTCTCACACCCTAACAGGAGTGAGTCACTCCTGAGGTGAAAACTATCCATGCCGCGTCTCACACACACCCAGACCCGGGAAGAGAAGCGGATGGACAGAAACACAAGGCCTGGGGGTGCACCCCAGCAAACACTCCCAGGACCCAAGGTGCTCATAAAAGCAACTAATAACACAGTCAGACACTCTTGAACGTGAGTGCCACTGAAGGAACCCAAATACTACAGAAGGGTTGGAGGCAATTACAGAGTAGAAAAAGAAAGTGCTGCAGAGGAAGTGAGTAATTAAACAGGCTTTCTCCCAGAGCACAGGCAGACCTCGAGGTCCTTACTAGCCAAGGCGAGGAAGAGCAGCCCAGAGCAGGGCCCGGGAGGGGACCTGCAGGCAGCCACAGAAGGGACGCTGCTCAGCTAGGCCGGGACACCATCCAGACCAGGCTGGGGACTCTAAGGGGGCTCACATGTGCTGGCCCTGGGCTCCCCACCTTCCTGTCCTCAGGATGTACTAAGGCAGGGCCCGTCCTGTCCTGGCCCCTCTCAGCCAAGCCTCTACATCCAGATCTGCCCCCAGCGCCTGGACTGCCAGCCAGGGACACCCACCCAGGGCTGCAGAGGACTCTACCTCCCAGGCGACACCCTCCCAGGCCTGATGCTCTATCCCAGGCACTCAGACTAGACAGGGCTGGGGCGGCCCACTGGTCCAAACTGGAGAGATGACCAATGGAAACCAAACTCTTGAGGTTTAGGGGTATAAAAACCCTGGGGTCCGGGCAGGGCAGGGGGTGGGGAGAATAAACTGAGACCCAGGTCTCTGCATGGAGTGACTCTGGGGCCTAAGCCTTCAGAAATCAGGATCAGGGGTGTGCCTGAAGGCCAGGTGAGGTTGGGGTTATGGTGACTGAGGGTGGGTCAGCACGATGAGATCAGGCTATCCCAAGACTTCAGGGCTGGGGGGCTGGGGTCAGGGCTGACCTGGAGATTCAGGCCACGAGGGTTCACCGCAAGACTCCCAGGGGTTCATTCTGGGAGTTTGGGGAGTTTAGGCCAGGTGGGGTGAGGAGTAGGGTGACCCAGGGTCCACTGGGCAGGGGCAGGGTGACTTGGGGGTTGAGGCCAGGTAGGATCCAGATAGTTCGGGGGGGGGGCGTCTAGCGGGGTGAGGATGACCCAGGGATTCAGGCCGGGTGGGATCAGGATGGGGGACCCTGAGGTTCATTCCAGGCGGGGTGGGGGTAACTCTGACAGTTCAGGCCAGGCAGGGCCAACCCCGGGCGGGTTTACACTCACTGGGGGGGCAGCTGCAGGGCGGGGGCGCCGCGCCTCTGGAAGGCCCCGTCCACGAAGACTCCGTTCTTGCCGAGGCAGCGCAGGTAGAAGTGCGGCTCCTGAAAGCTGAGCTGCAGGTGGCGCCGCGAGATGAAGCTGGACAGGCCCATGCTCAGGTCCACTGAGCCCTGCGACGAATTGCGGCCGATGGTGACGCTGGGCTGCCGCATGAGGAACTCGAACTCGCGGCCCTCAAGGCGCGCCAGCGCCGGCCCGGGGCTCTGCCGCACCGAGGCGGCCGCAGCGGCCACTAGGGCAGGCGGCGC